GAGCTTTGAGACAGAAAAAAACAAGACTGTTTTCTCTGAGGCAACGGGAACGACCCTCATGTCCCCTGCAGGACAGGTGTAGCGAGGCTGACTAAGGCTACACGCCTGCTTGTTGCAAGCTCACCTGCGCCTACTCAGTCACTCCTGCAACGCACCTGCTCGGGTGGCCTCAGTCGAGCCCTGAAACCGAGCTGCTTCTGTATGCCAAAGGTGTAATGCCCCTGCCTCCCACCGAGGGGCACGGAGACCTGCCTACTGCTGCCCGGAGCTCCACCCCAGCAGGCAAGCCCTGCATGAGTCCCCATGTTACCACCACGGAGCTGCCAACCTCTTCTCTGGTCTCTTGGCACCTCGGGCAAATTTAGTTACCAGTCCACGCCCAGACATTCCCACAGGACACTGAAGTGACAATAATCCATACATTTGGTCTTCCCCTAAAGGTTCCGCCCTGAGATTCCTTGAGTCAGAGGGCAGGAAGCCCCAAGCACACTCCATGGCCAGTCCAGTTACTCAGTGCACTGGCTGTACGCATATGGCTCTGAATAGGGTGTGAAGCGTGCCAGAGCTGTGCACCACCCCACCCCAAATACACAAAGGAAGTCTGAGCCAGACGGTCGGAAGTTTAACAAGAACAAGACGTTACAGGATGAGAAACCTCGGGATCACCTACAGGGCTTTCAAAATGCACCTCTGCAGGCTGCAGGCACATCAGGTGGCTATGGGGCAGAGGCCTGGGGGCCACATGTCAGAAACAGCAGCTTAGAGGCCGGCAGGCTGAGCACGATTTCAGAATGCAAAACATCACAGAAACCAAGTCAGCCAGGGGTCACGCCAGGGGACTTGAAACGTCACAGGGCCTACCTCAACCTGCTTCTCAAACTGCTTGATCTTCCGCTTCAGAGACTGCACGTAGGTGATGAAGGTCACCGCGTCCGAGGTGCTGGCCGTGTCCACCGAGTGCTGCTCCAGCTCTTGGCGAGACTAGCGAGAAAGCATGTCACAGGTGAACACACAGGTGGGCGTCACCAGCACCCCCGCTGTGCCGGCCGGCCCTCCCTCCTCACCTTGGAGATCTGGGAATGGAATTCGGTCATGTTGGAGCCCAGCATCTGCCCAAACTTGCTGAGAACTTCCTTATGCCAAGAATCGTACTTGAGGTTCACTTTTGACTGCACCTGCAGGAGGGTGAGCGTAAGACACCCACTGAGTCCCCTGTACTGGGGCAGACGCTGATTCTGTCAGAGAGCTGCCTTCACAGCCGCCCCACACCTTCCGACGAGACCGCAGAGCTCACCTTGCCGTAGTCTATAACGACCGGTCCAAACTCCTTCTTGGTCTCTGCATTGTCAAAGGTTCCTCTGGCCTTCCGTATCTGGACCAGGAGAGCCTGCCACTTGTTTAGATCTTCCCCGAGTCTGTTATAGATGTTTTCAGCTTGCATATCCCACAGACACTGGTACTGCAGCCAAACCTGCACGAGAACGCGCTCAGTACTGCAGTGTGATTTCACCATGAGGAGCATCAGGCTATGCTACGCTCACGTCCCACTAAAGGCTCAGGTTCCTCTGCCACCATCCTGCTGTCGTGGGGTCAATTCCGACCCACAGCGCCCCTAGAGGACAGAGTGGAACTTCCCCAGAGGGTTACCCAGGCTGCATCTTTATAGAAACAGACTGCCCAATCTTTCTCCTGCACAGTGGCTGGTGGGTTCAAACTGCGGACTTTTCAGTTAACAGCCAAGTGCTTAACACTGCACCACCTGGACTCCTTTTTGCCATCATTACGTATAGACAATTTTCACCTCAGATTCTCAGAATTTTCATACCAAAAAAAAATAAAATTCACTATCCTCAACAGTTAATGGTGATGGCTGAACAGCATAATGAACGTAATTGACGTAACGTCACTGAATTCTACAACTGAAGGGTGGAAAAATGGCAAACGTTCTGTTTACATTTGCCACAGTAAAAAAATATATACACAATATTAAAAAAAAAAAAAAAAAAAAAAACAGTTTCTCATCAGTTAGGAGCTGAGGGACTAGATGACTAAGAGCCAGCCCTCTTCTTACCCAAACATCCCCTTCCCTTTATCAATAAAAAAACCAAGTATCTCTGTGTGGAAAATAATCTTACTGTACCCTGAAAGGACAGCTGAACCCCTGTGATGTGTCCTGCTAGCCCTTTACCCTACAATAAGCAAGTATGATTTATGTAGTGACTGTATCAGTGCAGTCAACGTGGGGCCACGTCTGAGACCTCCCACAGGGAGACTGCAGCATGCCAGAGAGAGACGGGACGGCAGCTTCTTACCTTGACATATTGCTCGACCTCAGTCACGATGCCCATTACTGCAGAATACGACTCCTCCAGGGCCATGGGGCCATCGGGCATCCGCGTCAAAGCATTCCGGTAGAATTTTTCTTCTTCGGTCAATTCATAGTGGACACCCACCTAACCAATCAGAGCCACAGGTGAACACATGCAGCAGACACAGATGGTAACCTCACTCACCTTTCTCTCAGTTACAACGAGCTGAAAGAATAAATCTAAGAACTGCCAAGAACTGCATCCACTTACCTCAGCCACAAATGACCAAGACACCTACTTACATTTAACTCATCAAGCCAATAAAAGGAACATTAAATCCACCACAAGCTAGAAAAACACGGCCTTGCCAATGGCACGAGGTAAAACCAGTTAAAAAGTGAGCAAGGGCTAAGCAGCAGAGGGCCTGGCACCCCAGAGTAGCTGCTGCACCCCAGAGCGGGGCTGCCAGAGCTGTGCACCTCTTCAGTTGAGAACACCCGAGGACAGGATGCTGTGACATTAACAATGATGACCATATCTAATAAGCTGTGACACTAACCATGGTGACGGTATCTAACATGTTGTGACACTGAATGGTGACAATACCTAATATGCTGTGACAGTAACCATGGTGACGATATCTAACGTGTTGTGACATGAACGGTGACAGTATCTAACATGCATGACATCAAGCATGACTGAGTATTTTCACTAACGTGAGTGATTCATTCCAACCATCTCAGTGCCTGCGGTGCACAGAGTACAATAAACAAAAACCCTCTGTTCACATGGGCTTGTCCTATGGGCAGAGAGACAGCTCATCAGGTGGTGAAGGGTATATGAGACTGATGAGGAAGGGGGACAGGGAGGTCAGGGAAGGAGCAGGCGTGAGCCGTGCATGTGCACCGTAAGGGCGCTCGGAGAGAGGTCAGCGAGTGCAAATGCAGCCCAGGTCTCACTCTGCTCCAGAAGCAAACTAAGAGTGGCCTGCCAATAAGACGTGCTTAAAAATAATCCAGTGGGGAGAGAACTGAGAGTGCACCGCGAGGATGGTGAAGGTCTCCGTAAAAAACGGAGAGGAAAAGACATAGAGAGTTACTTGGGCAGTACAGACAAATATGAACCCTTTTGCATATACAGTACTGAGTTGTCAGTGAAAGCAAACATGGGTATAGGGACGGATAGATAGGTGAACAAGCTAAACAATTAGGTATGTCTAAATGGAGAGTGTATCCAAGATCATATATAGGGTTGGCAGACAATGGGCCTATAAGTTCATGTGAATGATCAGAATTCCCAAGTGTATAGTAGAGCTGACAAGGGGCAAGGTTATGGTCATTGCTTGGTCACAGCCAGCTACCCAGAGGGACCAAGTAGTTGATCCTGCGGGCTTGGGACCATAGTCACAGGGGACATCAAGCTCAATTGGCATAACATACTATACAAAACATTGTTCCACCTACTACTTTGGCGAGTAGCGACTGGGACCTTAAAAGCTAGGAAGCTGCCATCTAGATACAACAACAGGTCTTTCCTCGTCAAGAAGAAAGAAGAAAACCAAAATTAATGGAAGCAATCAGTCCTAGCGACTGGTACACCATCCGATCTGCAACCTATACAACCATGAGACCAGAAGAACTAGATGGTGCCCAGCTACCACTGCCATCCACTTGGAAGGGATGTAGGAGATCCTGCATAAAGAGGGAGAACAATGTGGAACAAAACTCAAAATCATTTGGAGGCCAAAAAAAAAAAAAAAGAAGGTGGGGACCAGGTTTGCTGGTCCAATAGAGCCTGGTGGAACCACTGAGACTATGGCCCCTAGCTGCCCTTCAGGTCTGGAATTGAACCCACACCTGTGGTTTCCAGCCAAACAAAGTACAGGCATGAGTTAAACATTTACCTCAAGTAGACACACGCCCTGGAGAGAACAATCATGGGAGAAGGAAGAGCCGCTTATGCACAGGGAGATAGCTCAGGGTGCAGAAGAGTATGAAGGGATGGACACTGGGAGGAGGTAACTATGGGGAGGAAGTGGGAGGGGAGCTGCTGCATTGTAAATTTTGGTCAATGACATGAGACAAAGTATATGTGAACTGCTGTATGAAAAGTGAATTTACTCTGTAAATCTTCACCCAAATCCTAGTAAAAAAAAAAAAACGGAGAGGAGAGGAAAGAAGGCAGCAGGAGTTGGGAATCCCAGAGAAGCTCGGGGGAATGCCGGAGACCACTGGGCACCGAGCTCCACACCCGGCAGCTGAGCGCACAGCACGTCAGGTCCAGCTCTCCCCAGCGGCAGGGCCCGGGTCTGCAGGGACGCGGAACGAGCTGGTGAGGTGAGCTGGGGAGGCACGGGCCAGCACTCACCTGGTACCTCTGACTCTGGATCCTGGGGAGGGACAGGATGACCATCTTCCAGGCAAACATCTCCTGGTACAGCTTGTATCTGCACTCCTCAATGGGCGGGTTCAGGTAGATCACCTGATTGGTTATTCTCAGCTCGTGGACAACATTCTGTAAAAGACGGTGGTGCGTCTCCTCAGCAGCCGACCCTCACGTGGTTGTGACACCTAAGCCAGTTTAGTCTGAACCACAGAGTCTGTCACTTTCTTATGAGACACAGTCCCAGCTAATGCTGAGCTGTGCTCCATGACCCTTCTCCTTCTCCCCAAGGGTTACAAAAGGCCAGAGGGAGGCCCTGGCTCCCCTGGGTCCCCCAGGGCCCTGGCAGAAGCTCACCACATGGGGCAGGCAGCCCTGACTGACGTGTGTGAGACCTCCAGGTGTCACAGGGAGAACTCACTTTGATCTTTGGCTCTCCGCCAGGTTTGTGGCTGACTTGAGGGGCGTCCGTATCCATGTCAACTTCTGCTTTGTCTTCCGCTTGTCCAAGAAGGACTTGTGTCCAAGCTCTTAGGCCAGCTTGCAGGCGAACACCCAGTATTCTTTCAATCTACAGAAAAGAAGTGTGAGAACAGTGTTTCTTCTAACAATTAGCTCACGAAGCACATTCATCTGTCAGAAAGCAGCAGGTGAGTCAGGTCAGAGGTGAACAGGTGCCCAACCACGGTCCTTCCTCACTTCCCTCTAAGTCTCAGCTCTGTGATATCCCTCCCAGCTCTAGACAACTAACACTGCTGTGTCTGGCCTGCGTGAGGCTGATACTCTCTGGCTGAGTCACCCATCCTCCCGAGTGAGAAGTGACCCAGGGCTGGAACATAAGCACATCCAATGCAGTGATGGTCTTAACTGTTCAACACAACAGAAAATTCACAACACAAGAAGGCTCTCCTGGCTGAAAACACTGTGACTGGAGATGAAGCCATTTTCTTTAGCCACGAGAAGAGCCCCTCCAGCTCAGAATGACAGAGGGGTCTTCCTACCAACAGGATGCCTGCAGGCTTAGAATCAGACAGGCAACATCCTACCAATGTGACGGCTGCAGGCTCAGAGTCAGACAAGAACTCCCTACCAACAGGACGGCTGCAGGCGCAGAATCAGAGGGAATTTCCTACCAACAGAGCATCAGCAGGCACGCATGCAGGCTCTGCAAACAGTCTGCCTTCACACCGCATCGCCATCCTCGGAAGGCCATGAAGAAGACGGTGTGAGGACAGTGGGGCTTGTTCATCTTCCTCTGCTCACGTCCACTGTACAGCACACCCGATTTATTCACCCATTGAAAAGGGAGATGGCGGAGGGACTAGCTGGGGCCACAAACACTGTGGGAACCGACCAACCGTGTCTGCCCACCGGAAACCTGTCTCCCCTACAATCCCCTCCTTCCCAAGCCCTTCATTCTGATACACACTGCTCTGCAGGCCAGTGGAGGTTGAGGTGGCATCAAGTCACGGCTAACCCGTTGTTACTGTTGTTGTCAGGGGCCACAGAGTCAGTTCCGACTCTCAGCAGCCCCACCCGTGACAGAACAAGATGCTGAAGCCTACAAACTGGAAACGGCACAGGGACTGGTCAGCACGCTTCAGACACACCTGAACACGTACACTAGCCCCTCAGAGCACTCCACCCACAAAGCAGGACTCAGTTCACAGAATTACCCGAGACCCAAGTGGGCTCCTCTACACCAGGAGTAAGAGGTCTCAGGTTGCTGGGTATTCCCTCCTCAACTGAGGGGACAGAGAAGGGGCCCAGCATGCTGGGGAGAGGGGCAGGGCTGGCAGAGAGGGGTGCCCAGACACGGGAGAGGGACAGGGCTGGCAGAGCGGGTGCCTGGACACTGGGGAGATGGTCACCTCAATTAAAAGAGGACGAGGGAAGGGCAAAGGGCCAGACGTGAAGCATCCAGAAAAGGGGACTCGTCCTCCCACCTCACGGCCACCTGCTTCCAAGACTCAGAATTGCAGGCAGTGCTGTCAGCAGCATAGACAGCTATCGTCAGTTCAGCCAGGTTTCCAGAGGGGACTGTCCCTGGCAACTCGATGGGAAGATGCTGCCCAGTCAAGCTAACAAGCTTATGGAAAAGGTCTCCCCAGCCGGCAGCAGGCGAGTGAAAAGCCTCCACCTGCCAGCGCCCAGCCCCACCTCCATGTCCAGTTTGTTGACCCAGATGGGCAGGTTGGAGTAGGAGTGCAGGTTCAGGTCGTCCACCGCTTTCTGGACTCTGTTCAGGATCTCCGAGAACGTCCTGTGATCATACATGCACGTCTCCAAGGAGCGGACCTCCAGGTCGATTTTCTCTTCAATGATCAGCAGGTCGTCCACCTGGGGGCAGGTCAACGTAAGGCTTAAAATGCCTCCTCACTCTGCCTTCTATTTTCACATACCTTCTCCATCCCTGCTCCAGGGCTTGAGGGTGAGAGGGCTGCTCAGCCACCCCCGTATTTGGGCCAAGAACATTTACCTGACTCCTGCATCATAAGCAGGAAGGAAAATGTCAGGAAGGATACCAGATTCTCCCCCTTCCTCCTATCTGCTTAGAGGAAGGGGTCCTTTCCTGGGTACTGGGGGTGTGCACACCAGGGGTGTGCACTCTGGTGGGCTCACAGAGCCCAGCCCTGCCCTGAAGCCTCATGGGTCCAGCCCAGCTAATGACTGCAAAGGAAGTCCACGTCTCTCTGGGTTGTCAGCGAGCAGTGCACCTGCAGGCCCAGAGCCAGGTCCTCTGCTCCCACCTGCTAGGACTAAAGCTCTCGGATGGACCGCAGTCCAAACGGCTTTCTAAGGGACCACGGTACTGTAGGCTCCTGTATCCTTGGCCTATGACTAGTTCCTAAACCAAGGAGATAAAGATGTGGTGCAGGCTCCTCCCCCAACCCACCCTCCAGGCCATTAATTACTTCTGGCCACCATGGCTTCTTACACGTGCTCTACGGTAGAACCAACATTTTACAGGATTTAGCTATTAGTGTATCTAAAGAGCTATTACTGCACTTAAGGAGCTCTGGTGGTACAGTGGTTAAGGCAGTGGGCCGCTAACCAAAAGGTCGGTGCTTCGAGCCCACCAGCTGCTCTGTGGGAGTAAAACGAGGCAGTCTGCTTCCATAAAGATGTACAGACTCGGAAACCTGACGGGGTCGCTGTGACTCAGAACTGACGACAGCAGTGGGTTCGGGTTTTGGTACTAAGTAGGAGCCTGAGTGGGGCAGAGGCTGAACGCAGGCGGCAGCTGCCCGAGAGGCTGGAGGGTCCCGTCCACCCAGAGGCACCTGGGAAGAAAGGCCTGGAGACCTGCTTCCAGAAAATGAGCCCCCAACAGCCCTGCAGGACACAGTCCTACTGACATGAGCGGGGTCCCCGTGAGCCAGAAGGGACTCAACAGCCCCCAGTTACGTGTAAACCTGCCGGGACCCGAGGCCTCCATCAGAACCCACCTTCTCTTGGAAGTTAAACACGGTCTCCGCCAGGCGCTGCACGTAGGGATCGAGCTTGTAGGACTCCCACACCAGGGCGACGCCCTCTGCGATCAGGGCCTGCACCTCCTTCTTGAGGCCGGCCACCAGGAGCGAGATGGTGTTACGCTCCTCCACCTTCTCGCAGGTCCGCTCGTAAGTGCGCACGCTCTCGATCAGCGAGATGGCGAACGGGTAGAGCTGGTTTGCCTGATGGGCCTTGTTCACAATCGCCAGCGGGACGCGGAAACCGAGCCACTTGAGGTTCCGGACTTCTTTGGAGAGTGTGATGATCTCGGGGAGAAAGTTCACCTTCAGCTTCAGGACATTGCCAGTCCGGCCTCGGACACGCGCACTCTCGATGGTGAAAATGCGCCCAGAGACCCCCAGGTTGCGCTGCTGCACCTTCCGGGCCCAGTCGTCGAAGATCTCCTGAGTGTTGAGCTTCATGCGGAAACTGTCCCCGTCCTGCTTCAGTTTCTGCCCTTCCACGTGGTTCTCCCACCCTTTGCCGAGGACGTCCTCCACACGCTTCATGTAGGCCGTCAGCTGCCTGTCTATCTGCTTGGCCCAGATGATGGACCCCGACACGGGGGGCAGGTCACGCACGTGGCTCATCTTGCACGCCTGGCTCTGTGGGTACTGCACCTTGAACTTGTCATGCAGAGACCCGATGTCGTCCTTCACGCGCTGGATCAGCTGGGTCTGGTACTCGCGGATGGCCCCGCGGATGTGCGGCCTGACAAACAGCGCATTGAACCTGGAGAAAATCCTGAACATCTCGTTAGCATTTTTGGCGGTGCCAAGTTGGTCACGGAGGCGAGCAGTGATCCGGGTCTCCACCCTGTCGATCCTCTCATCGTATCTCTTCATCGCAGCCTCCCAGGCTTCCGTGCCTTCCTTGGAGACATCAAGCCCGTCCACTTCCTTGACGTTCTCGTAAGCAAGGTTGACTTCCTCGATGGCATTTGCGTCGGCAGCATCAAAGAGAACCTCTGCAACTTTCATATCCTGGGGTTCGGGCACCTCCCCTTGATTCTGCTGTGCAACTGCTGTGACCTAAAAGAGAAGATTCATAACAAAATGCATTTACCAAGTGAAAGTGAAGATGCGTCTCACTGCACAATGGCAGTGTGCACTACACCAAAGCCCCTGCCAGCCAGATAGCTCCTTAACTTAGTCAACGTTTCCGAAGGACCACGCAACAAAACTAAGTGAGATACTCCAGGTCGACTCTTACTCCACACTATAAACATCTTCTGACAACTTAGCTTCATTGCTTAAGTGGCCGAAATGTGTGTAAAAACCTGGGGCTTCGGTACTTACCTCTTCAAAGTTTAGTCTATGATTAAAAGTGCACTGGAGAGAATGTTGACATGTTGTGAAAATGTAACCAATGTCACTGAACAATCTGTACAGAAATCATTAAATGGGAACCTAATTTGCTGGGTCAACTTTCAATGAAAACACAATAAAATATATTATATTATATCAGAAACAAAAATACCGGCATTAGAAAGCTCACTAATTCATAAGAGTGCTATATACAAACTCAGTATCCAAACAAAGTCTTCCCAATGGAATACTATAAAGAATAATGCAGAATCCACCAAACACCTCATAATGTGGATGAACTTGGAGGACATTATGTAGAGTGAAGTAAGTCAGTCACAGACGGACAAATACTATATGAGCCCACTATTATAAAAAGTCAAGGAAAAGCTTACAAATGGAAGGAAACTTCGTTGGTTACCAGGGATGGGAAGGGAGGGAAAACTGCTAGCTGGCTAAGACATACTTACTAATTTGGGTAAAGGGAAAGGCAATATGCCAAAAGTGAGTGACCAACGCAGTAACACTAAGGAAAATAAGACACAGAGAGGTAGGCAAGAGGTACAGACAACAAAGATACGTACTTTCACACACACAGTACTGCATTCATTATTAGTAGTGTTGTTTGTTGTTGTTGTTACGTGGTGTTGAGTTGAACCCGACGCCTATCGACCCCTCCTTGGGTTTCCGAGGCAGTATCACTATGGAATTAGATTGCCCAACCTTCCTTCTGAGGAGTGGCTGGTGGGTTTGAACTGCCAGACTTCTGGTTAGCAGTAAAGTGCCTTAGGCACTACTCTACCAGAGTTCCAAACATTAATCTATGAGTGGACAGATAGGTAGATAGACAAGATGATTAGGAATGAGTAGGTGAAAGGGGATATACCCATGATCGTGTGTGTGTGTGTACAGCTTAGGCAGACAATTTCTCTAGATACGTATTTGTATGTGCTATAAAATAGCCATATATGTAACAGGGCAAATGAAGCAAAGGTATGATAACTTCCTGACCACAACCAAACACCTTGAGGGAGTGAGTCACTGGGCCCTTGGGCTTGGGACCATGGTCGCAGGGGGACATCAAGCTCAGCTGGCTAACGTAGTATACAAAAGTATTGTTCTACATCCTACTTTGGTGAGGAGCAACTGGGGTCTTAAAAGCTTGTGAACAACCATCTGAGATAAAACTACTGGTCTCTCCTCATTCAGTGCAAAGAAAAGTGGAGAAAATCACTACTCCACCATGTTCACAGAGAAGCATGCGTATCACTGTAGCACAATTATAAAGTATTGGTAGCTCCAGGGGGCTGAGAATCACCTTGTCCACGTCATAGGATGATGTGACCAGCGAGAGACAAGCTTAAGATCACAGACGATAGAGAGAGCTGTGCAGAGGCAGTGACGGGGATACAGACTACACACGCGCAGCAGGAGTCGAGGCAAAGCGAGTGCCACGGAAACAGAGACCCACAAAACCGGAAGAACCAACCAAACTCCAACTGCTACAAGGTATGGCCTACAACATCCAGTTTTCAACAAATGTATTGAATATGAAAAAAAAACCAGGACCAGATGTGCAAAGTGTGACTCCTACTTGGGAAAAATACGCAGCGAGGAGAAATTGACTCCAAACAGGCCTAGGTCATAGATCCAGCAGAAAAAGATTTCAAGGCCATTACTACAAATGTGTTCAAAAGAAAATATACAAAAGAATGAGTGAATAAACCAAGTCTCAGAGAAACGGAAGCTATAAAAAAGAACCAAATGCTACTTCTAGAAATGAAAAGTACAAC